GAATGAAGGAACACTACGACATTCAAGCTGAGCATGGAGGATACCAACCAGGGAAGTTGGTGTGGCTATATAACCCGCAGAGACGTCGTGGGTTATCTCCGAAGCTACAATCCTCGTGGGAAGGGCCATACGAAGTCATGGATAGAATTAATGACGTCGTATACCGTATCAGAAAATTGCCAAAAGGAAAACCGAGGGTAGTCCATTTCAACCGTTTGAGCCCCTACCAAGGCGAAATAGAAGATCGTGCTGGGACCGTGAGAACCTGCAGCTTTGATCCCCCTGATTCGGAGATGTCCTTTGACGATTTCATGGCCCGATACAACAGCAGTGAGAAGGCTCGCTATGGTGTAACCAAAGAAGATCAACGAGACCTCTTTTCCGTGCCTCCTGATTATTCGCTCGCTCATTGTGTGGCTCGAGATTTGCGGATGTCCAGAGGAATCGCTGCGACGTTCAATGAGAAGTTTGGGCGTGTCGGAGAACTACGCCGACAGGATCCAGAGGTTGGAAGCGTCTTGAGGCTAACCGACAATGCACATGGTCAAGCAAGGCACATCTTCTACCTGGTCACCAAGGAATGGTCCCCGAGTAAGCCGACTTATCTCAATCTATGGAAGACCCTGATTGAACTGAGAGAAGCCCTGCTAAACAACAACATTGCACGATTAGCCATTCCGAAGCTGGCGTGTGGACTCGATGGTTTGAGTTGGCGTACAATCCGGAACATGATTGAAGTCTTGTTCAGATTTACGGGAATCGAGATCCTCGTTTGCTGCTACAACCCAAAGCTGAGATCGGGAGAGAAAACTGTAGACTGCTATTTCTACCAGACTTCGCAATGTACCAGGGGCCAGCTTTGCAAATACCTTCATTCACCGTATAATCTCGGGACGAGCATGTGCCTAAGAAGGGCAGGTGTTGCGGGCCGGTGTGTGGACTCGACCTAACCTCACAATATGGCCCGCCTTCGGATGACCTTAACATCGCATAGACACCGCAATGATTCATTCGTTCGAGAAGAATCGGAGTTCCACTGGAATGGACTAGTACATACGAGAACATTCGAGCTTCTCTACGCACCTAACGATCTATGGACTATTCTAGAGTTCTTTTACCTGTCGGTATAAAGCGGCGGTGGCCTACAGGGGCAGTTATAAATATGCCAGGCGCAGTTGACGCGCTAAAATTAAAAATAAATTCTTAGTTATAAATCGTTTGTAAATAGTTCTATAAGTCTTTTATCGTTATTGTTTTTGTTAATTAGTGTTAAATAAATAGTGTTTAAATAAATTGTGACTTTCTATCCACACGGAACCGACGAAAAACGTAACAATATCGATTTATATTGACTAAACCAAACATTATACGCGATAGGCGATAAACGATACAAAAACCTAGGTTGTTTTACAATTGAGTTTTTATATAAACATCCAAACTGCTCAAATGGCGAAATTTTTCCAGCGAAATGACTGAAATCCTGTAATATATATTTATATAGAAATAATGCACTCGATATTTCTTAATTAACTATATTTATTCTCAACTAATAAACAATATTACAAATTATAATAATAACACGCTGGGGGGGGACTAGACAAAGACAAAAACCGCCACTTTTTCTATCGTCTGTCAGCAAATACGTTTAAAATAAAGTATACGGAGGGTACCGCTTAAATTCCTGCCCCGATGTTGAAGGATGGCTATAGAATTTCAATGCATTTCCTACATAAGTCTATCCTTGTATTGTAGGAGGTTTGACTAAACAAGGATGAACCTATTCCTTGAAACATTCGACTCGATTTTCTGTCCTCCTTCAATACTGGGACGTAAATCCTCTCATTGCTCTTATGGGGAGGCCGTCGTATATATTATTTAAACGTATTGGTCAGTAAACTACCAAATACAAGTGTATATAAAGTTGCCTACCTTAGAAATTATTTTATGAATGACACGGTCAATGGCCAATATAAACTATATCTATCGCATCGTAACCCATTATATTTTCTATACGTAGTATACCTTACCTTGTTGGCATCACGAGCCGCGGCACTTGAAGTTTAATACGTGTAAAACCTAGTGGGAACGAAGGACAAAATTAAATTTTGACCGGCAGTAGAGAAAATGGGTAAAATAAAATGTTTTCAAGCGAGAATTGGACAAATTGGGAATAGTTTGTAGCGTTTTTTATTATATATATATATATATATATATATATATATATATATATATAAGTATATATATATATATATATATATATATATATATATGTTACAGAGTTGGTTATATATATGTTATATATATATATATATATTTTATTATACATTACCACTGGGTGAACGGCAGTTTTCATCGGAGAGCAGTCGTGGCTAAGGTGTTTCACTAGAGAGAAAACTAATCAATAACAATAAACAAAAAAATATAGATATTGGGCGCCAGGCATGTACAGAGAAAGAAAACACAGTTGTATATTACTTAAAACTAATGACTATATTTATTCATGATGTTCTTTGCTGGTACATGACATTGTAGAGTTCTAGTAAATATTTAGTGGTTATATGTCAAAGAAAGTGGTGTTAAGAGTTGTACTAAATATCTATGAAAACAACTATGATAAAATACAAGACATGTAAAGTTTAAGAGAATATATGAAATGTAGCATTACTTTAATTAATTTGATACATTTTATATGATGTTAAATCGAAGATGTTGCAACCCGTAGATTCTAGAATCTATGTTTGGTTATTCATCTGTTAAAATAGTGCAATAATGATATCTATGAAAGTAATACCATTACAAGACGTAATGTAATGAAACCTAAGATCTAAATTATATTTTAAATATTAAATCGACATGAATGTTCTTAACAATCTAACCACTAAACATGTCTGTACGATATTACTTAAGAGATGTACGTTATTGTTTAAGACTGAAAATGTTTTAGATGTTAAATGTAAAACTAGAACTTAAATCTACACTTAGCTGTTCTTTATGTAATCTTGCTTCAAACAGTAACAGCGTGAGGTGGTCTCGCATCTCTGTACTCGGCCATCCAACACAACCAAAGGGGTCAGAATGAGGACATCATGAATTGGAACAGCCGTAACTACTAACTAAGTTATAGATGGGAACGAAGCAGCATGGGGCTCAAGCTACATCCACGCTGGGGCACTTCATATGTAAGAAAAATCACTCCTACTGTGGACACTCGTCCACGGGACATCCGTCCATAAGGTGATGGTACAAGGGAACACTACTAGGACCTTGGATAATGCCTGTACCTTGGACACAGTCCGTCCATAAGATAATGTACGTCCATAAGACCCTAAAAATACGAAACTCTTTAAAATCAAACAAGGTCTAATAAACAAAATGAACCTACCTCGAATTACTTCCGAGGGCTCACTAAATAATAAAGAACATCTCCTTTCTTCCATGTAACATTCTGGAGGACAAAAGAAAAGGGACGCCAACGTGCCAGCAAAATACAAATACAAGTTAGGTTGGGACATCCAAAACTCTACCCTAAAAATACGCAGTAATAATAACGAATCAAAAAAGATAATATCTCATTTTTACCTGTAGCTTCGAAATAGCAGCTGATTCAAATTATACAGCAAGATTTAAATAATTGCAATTTCTCTAAGTAGGGCTCTGAACAAGGGCTCTGAAGGTGACAGTCCGGCCAGAGGCCAGACAAAAAGTGAAGTTAAGCTCGGAGAGCGACCTAAAGGTGGGTTCATACAGCCAAATAAAATAAAATAAAATAAGAAATAAGGAATTCTTATTTGTGCGCGTTCATACAGTCAAATAAAATAAAATAAGAAATATATATTTGCTCATGCGCTGTACGATGAAGCTGGATAAAAGTTAACTTTTACGATTGTTTATAGTAATTTTACTATTTATAGTATATTTATTTATTCGTTGCCTACTATATTATAAATTTTACTTATGTCAAATTATAAAATAAATTAAATCCAAACTGAAAATATTTGTAGGTTAGAATTAAGCTTGCGCAAAGCCGTTTTCACATAAAATAAAACAAGAAGTAAAAAGATAAAGACTTCTTTTATTTGGCTGTATGAACGCATGTACGGTATCCCATATAACCAACTTTCTTATTTTATTTTATTTTATTTTATTTGGTTGTATGAATCCACCATAACTTTGGAGCGATGTTGACAGCGCCTCCACAGAGCAGTGAATGTAAAAATTACGCCAAGCGTGCCAAATAAATTATCAGGCCTGAACGATACGGAATCCGATGACGATACGCCAGACATCATATATATCATATATAAAAAATATATGTAACGTATACATACCAAACCGTTACAACCGTATAAAAACGTTACAAGTTTTGAATATTTTAGGATGAAAAAAAGTGATTTACAAAAAGTACAATTTAAGTTTTTCTAATTTTCTCCTGATTTTTTTTTGTGGGGGGGGGCATTGACCATTTGACCTCTTGGTTAAACCGCCACTGTATACAGGCTGAGTCAACGATTGATTAAAGACTGCTTGTGCTTAAAAGTACATTTTTAAAAAAAGACTATGAAAATAGGCAAAAAACTAGAATTATTCACAAAGATTCAACAACAACACGATATTATACAAAATAATGACTGACATTAGGATAATTGTCAAATAATAAACGACAACCTTGCTGAAAACGGCGCAATGTGACTAATATAGCGATAATAAAATTCGGTTTAAACTAATTTTTGCAGCTTTAATCTAAATAAAATATCTGTTACAATCATTTGCTCTATAAAGTAAAATGAAGAGCTGCTCGGTATCTTAAATTATTCAACAAATTTAAACATTTTTTCCAAAATTTCATTTAGTCAATTTTATAGACTTTAGTGTCAATGTCGATATGATTGATAACGTGCATCGGACAATGTTTTGCAATTACCCTAGGTAATTCTGACGTGATAACCTAACAGCAATATTTAACAGTAATTCTGATTGAGTTATTTAATTATATAAAACAGGATGAGACAAACTGGGAGCTGTTAACAGCTTCAGCCATTTACTGGATGACATATGGCAACACCGAACAAGCTGTCGTCTGTCTGAGAGGAGCCATTACGAAAGTACCTAATTCTCATCTAGATATTCCTTTGTCGTTCCTTAGTAATCTATTGCAAAAGTAAGTTATATTTTTTATTTTGAGAATCGTTATGTAAAAATTGTTCTTTTTAGCCTGGGATTGCACAAAGATGCATTGGATATAGCCAACCTTGCGTTAAACATCAATTCCGAGGCTGTCTGGAACCATTATATGGTTGCTGAAATTTATATCAAGGTGGTGAGTAATTTTGTGATTGTTTTTTTTTTCAAAATATTTTCTTTGGAAATACAGGTTGTCCAATCCATGGGCATTAGAGTGGGCCAAAAAAATCGACTATTTCTTTTTCACTTCTTTTCACTTTTTGTAGAGAATTCAATTTCCTACAAATATATGAGACTGGATATTTTTTCCCAATAGTAGACACCGAAATATAAATTTTTCTTTCTAATAATAAGGAAAAAATAGAAAACTGAAAGGCAGGGATGATCTTCCTATTAAAATTAAGAGCTCATACTTGGAGAGAATTATTTTGAGGTGTCTACCAACCTTTTTTCAGAGTATAAAGTGACAAAAAATAGTCGATTTTTTTGACCCACCCAAATGGGCATACTACTACGTATTTTTGTAAAGTAATTTATGACAGTGACATAACACTTTACATTTCTGCCATCTTTATCCTTACTCCTCGACAGAAAGACAGTGATGGTCGCCCCTTTTGGGATGTTTTCCCTCTTCACTGCAACTTCTTCTGATTATTGAGTCTCTACAGTACTGATTTTTGTTGGTTAGGCAGATTTTTCTGTAAGAGTCAATGAAAAATCTCCCATTCGTCTTCGTGGAATCTGAAATCATATTTTTACATTTTATCTTTTTTTATATACAGGGTAGTCCTAGTAGAACTGTATTCTAGAAACTTCGGCAGCATATTCTGCAGATAAAAATAGGTAAAAAAGTTCTTATAAATGTATGTCCAAAAATGCTTAGTTTCGGAGATACAGGGCGTGGAAGTTTGGTTTGTACAAGATTTGGATGAAAATTGGTGGCTGGGAGTTTTTTGACATTGATTTTGATGTCAATATGACTCCTACTTGTAGAGAGCGCCACCTACATGTGTTTTTACTGCTTTGAAGAGTAATAACTTTTCGTCCGTTCCTGTATAACACTACTGAAAAAAATGCATTTACTACGTTTTTTACGTAAAAAAGTCTCTTGGTAAAAATCGCTACGAGTAATGGTTCTGGAGATATTTGTATTCGAAATTATCAATACCTGTCATCATTGATATAAATTAAACATGTTGACTAAATAGTTATGAGACTGAAATCATAAATTTCAAATGTTTTTGTGCCAAAAGTTCAACATAAACTGGTTTATCATCATTTTTTCAAAGAGAAATTTATGATTCGTTTAAAAAATAAAAAGTGCCCAAATTTATCATTTCAGTCAAGTAACTATCTACTCAACATGTTTATTTTTCGTCAATAATGACATGTATTGACTATTTCATTTCTAAATATCTTGAGAACGGTGGCTCGTAGCGATTTTTACCAAGAGACATTTTTTCCGTAAAAAAATCACGGAAATGTATATTTTTTCACTCAGTAGTTTTATACAGGAACGGACAAAAAATGATTACTCTTCAAAATAATTAAACCCCTACAAACAGGAATCATATTAACATTAAAATCAAATTTCTCATGTCAAAAAACTCCCAGATACCAATTTTCATCCAAACATTGACGTTACTTCAGAAATTAGTTGGAAAAAATCGAAATAAAAATGAATCTTCTACACCCTGTATCTCCGAAACTAAGCATGTTAGGACATATATATATATATATATATATATATATATATATATATATATATATATATATATATATATATATATATATATATATATATATATATATATATATATATATATATATATATAACCAAAACTAAGAAGGAAATTTCTTGGGGATAGCGGTCTAGAGGCAATAAATTAAACAATTTATTACAAACGCCGAGCTTTCGGAAAATATATTTCCTTTTTTTCAAGGCTAAAACATATCACAAAAAGTCAACTGAATATAATATAATATTATATAAACTTTACGTGTAAAAAAGTTTAATTATAAAAATAGAAAAATATATCAATTTCCATATTGAAGAAAGGAACTAAAATTTTGTATAAAAGTTAAAATCTTCTTAAATATTCATGAATTCTGACATTACTAAAAATTATTTTGACATAGAAAGGTAAATTTAATTATTAATAAAAAACACGTAAAAAACATATAAGGTTAATCACAAGTTACAAATAAAAATAAAGAAAAAAAAATCAAATTTTAAATATTATTTTTATTTTTAATAAAATGGAGTAAGAAAGAATATATATTACTAAGATCCTCAATATCTTTTCTTTTATTAATACAATTATCATTAATGTAAATTTCTACCATTTCAAGAAAAAGTCTTTTATTAGTATTAAATTCAGTATCCAAAATTTTTGCATTTTTAAAATCAATATTATGTAGTGTATCAATCACATGTTCTGATAATGCACAACTACGTTTACATAATTACTTAAATACTACTGAATTTAATACTAATAAAAGACTTTTTCTTGAAATGGTAGAAATTTACATTAATGATAATTGTATTAATAAAAGAAAAGATATTGAGGATCTTAGTAATATATATTCTTTCTTACTCCATTTTATTAAAAATAAAAATAATATTTAAAATTTGATTTTTTCTTTATTTTTATTTGTAACTTGTGATTAATCTTATATGTTTTTTACGTGTTTTTTTATTAATAATTAAATTTACCTTTCTATGTCAAAATAATTTTTAGTAATGTCAGAATTCATGAATATTTAAGAAGATTTTAACTTTTATACAAAATTTTAGTTCCTTTCTTCAATATGGAAATTGATATATTTTTCTATTTTAATAATTAAACTTTTTACACGTAAGTTTATATAATATTATATTATATTCAGTTGACTTTTGTGATATGTTTTAGCCTTGAAAAAGGAAATATATTTTCCGAAAGCTCGGCGTTTGTAATAAATTGTTTAATTTATTGCCTCTAGACCGCTATCCCCAAGAAATTTCCTTCTTAGTTTTGGTTATAATTGATCGGTCAAGACTTCCTCTTTGTATAATATATATATATATATATATATATATATATATATATATATATATATATATACAGATATATATATATATATATATATATATATATATATATATATATATATATATATATATATATATATATATATATATATATATATATATATATATATATATATATATATATATATATATATATATATATATATATATATATACAGGGTCCGGCAATAGTGCGTCGGGCATCTGTAGCTCCTAGAATAAAAAACTTGAGAATTTTGTTTAAGTGTAGACCTAAAGTATGTACCAGGATGTATTTCAGGAAAATATTTTAACTTCTATAGGGTGTCTCACAAAAGTGTGAGTGGACCTGGTTGATTTTTTTTAAATTGAACACCCTGTATATTATTGCATTTCTGGCTTCCTTTCAGATCACTTTACATAACCCTAAGATATGAATAAATATATTTCGATAGTTTCAGAGATATTAATAAATAAAAAAAATATATATATTTTTCAGTCCTTTTTAAAAAAATTATTAAAAATACAAGAACTGTTCTGAAATCAAAACTATGTTAGGTATTTACTTTAGATGGTCTATTCTTACTTTGCTATAAATATGGTAATCGTAAATCATACAGGATGTTCAATATTCTACGCCAAACTTTATAAAATATAAAATAATTTTTCTTTGTTTTTTTAAATGGAACACCCTCTATATTATTTTTTTATTAGATGGAGAATTAAAAAATGAACACTTTTTGTATTTAAAGTATTTCAAAATTTTTAATAGTTTTCCGGATACGCGCAGTATTATTTCATATGGCGCTTTCAATGGTAAAATACGAGAGAAAAATCATTGGGTGGCTTTGATAAAAATTTACTGTGGAAAATGCCATATGAAATATATAACCGCAAATATCTGCGAAACCGTTAAAAATTTTCAAATACTTAAATACAAAAATGTTCATTTTTAATTCTCCGTCTACTGAAAAAAATAATATACAGGGCGTTCCATTAAAAAAAAAAACGAAGAAAAATTATTTTATATTTTAGAAAGTTTGGCGTAGAATTTTGAACATCCTGTATGATTTACGATTTTCATATTTATAGCAAAGTAAGTACAGACCATCTAAAGTAAATACCTAATATAGTTTTGATTTCAGAACAGTTCCTGTATTTTTAATAATTTTTTTAAGAAGGGCTGAAAAATATATATTTTTGATTTAATTTTGAATATCTCTGAAACTATCGAAATATATTTATTCATATTTTTGGGGTGTGTAAAGTGATCTGAAAAGAAGCCAAAAATGCAATAATATACAGGGTGTTCCATTTAAAAAAAATTATCCAGGTCCACTCACACTTTTTTGAGCCACCCTATAGAAGTTAAAATATTTTCCTGAAATACATCCTGGTACATACTTTAGGTCTGCACTTAAACAAAATTCTCAAGTTTTTTATTCTATGAGCTACAGATGCCCGACGCACTATTGCCGGACCCTGTATATATATAAATATATATATACGAACTTTTTTACTTATTTTTTTGCAGAATATGCTGCCGAAGTTTCCGGAATACAGTTCGAACCACCTTGTATATTTAACATTATTGGTCGATTTTTCAGAATGGATATGATCAAGCGATTCCATTCTTGAGGTCCAGTCTTCAACTCAACGACAAGTTCGATCCGGCTAGGATCAGATTAAAGGCAGTTTTGTGCAAGCTGTTGTTTGAAGATAGACCCAATCAGGGTCTCATAAAAGCGAAAATAGTCGAAGACTATTTTAAAAATTAAAATTTGATGTTGTATCTCCTCGTACGAATTTAAAATTTATTGTCAATGTCAATTATTATTTATTCTTTGACTCTAAATGTTAGTTTTATTTTTTTATCAAATGTACCCTGTCATATTGGCAAAATGGGCCGAATATTTATTGTATTATAAATAAAATGAAAAATAAATGTTGATATATGTCTATTTCTTTGATTTTTATTTTCATGTTGTATCCATAGAGACATAGAGGAAGCCTAATGATCTATACTAATATATAAAATCCTTAAGTGACTGACATACTGATTAATCACGATCCTGCTCAAACCAATCAGCGTAAGAAGCTCAATTTTGGCATACAGGTTGATTCTAGGGTGTAGAGGTTCGATAAGAAGGGATTTTTCGAAAATCCAGTTCCAAGAGGGTGAAACCACCCCTCAAATATTACAATATTTTTTATTTAAAAAACGGTCAAGTTTGCGAAAAAACGCTTAAACACGTATATTTTATTTTGTTTTTTACATATTTTAAGATTTTTTAAAAATGTATACAGGGTGTTTCGAAAAATCTGGTCATTGATTAATCACGATCCCGCTTAAAGCGCTTAACGTAAAAAAGCTGATTTTTGGAAAATAAATTGACTTTAGGGTGTAGAGGTTCGATAAGAAGGGATTTTTCGAAACTGGAATTCTAAGGGGGGTGAATCTATCCCTCAAATATTAAAATATTTTTTATTTAAAAACCGGTAAGTTTTTCGGAAAAAAAACATATATAAAAAAACACGTAAACACGTATATTTTATTTTGTTGTTTTACATATTTTAAGATTTTTTAAAAATTTATACAGGGTGTTTCATAAAATATCATCATTGAGTAATCACGATTCTGCTTAAATTGCTTGACGTTTAAAGCTGATTTTTTGCAAACGGTTTGACTGTGGGGTGAGAGGTTCGATAAGGAGAGGTTTCTCGAATCTCAAATTCCAAGAGGGTGAAAACGCCCCTCAAATATTACAATATTTGTTATTTAAAAAACGATTAGTCTTTGGGGAAAACGCTTGGACAAGCATAATTTATTTGTTTTTTTACATATTTTGAAATTTTTTAAAAAATCATACAGGGTGTTCCAAAAACTTGGGTAATTTCCTAATCACGATTCTGCTTAAACTGCTTGATGTAAAAAGCTTATTTTTGGCAAACGGATTTTTCGAAAGTCAAATTCCAACGAGATGAAACTACCCCTCAAATATTACCAAGTTATATATTAATATCGCCATATTGTTTTTTCTCATGCTGACTTAAATGTGAGAAAATTTTATCCAGTTTGTATGTTAATGGAAATTCTTGCTTTGCTTTATCATCGCCATTACAAATGATTAATTTGACGCGAACGAAGTCGCTGGTACACGCTAGTATTTTTGATAAATGTTTTGACTACGCCTATGGTGTAGTCAGTGGTATCATAGTAATTAATTACGAAAAAAACGTATTAAAATGTTAAAAAAAGTACAAAACTAGTATCGACGTATAGCGCATATCAAGTACATATAGTATCAGAAAAATAATTACCAAATAAAAAAACGTTAAAAAGGTGGAGTGGACTGTTTATTTACTTATAATAATAATAATAATAATAAAGACTTTATTGCGAAATTTAAAAAAATCACAAAAGGCGAAGTTGAAGCTTAGCTTCCTAACTTAACCCTAAAAGAAAAGCAGCTCCTGGCTCTTTCTTATCGTTGCGGCTTTTACACTTGAAAGCTGAACACATCACCATTGTAATAAAGTTTATACAAAGTTCACTACACACAACAGATTATTAAAAATCGCTAAAATTGTCGCTGTTGACGAGGTAGTGACTCATCCGTTGGCTCCAAAATGATGGCGTCTAACGTGACAAATTCTGCTGCAGCCCGTATATGGGCGTTACATGTCCTTGTATTCTTTAGTCATTGCTTCCAGCCATTGTAGTTTATACAAAGTTCACTACACACAACAGATTATTAAAAATCGCTAAAATTGTCGCTGTTGACGAGGTAGTGACTCATCCGTTGGCTCCAAAATGATGGCGTCTAACGTGACAAATTCTGCTGCAGCCCGTATATGGGCGTTACATGTCCTTGTATTCTTTAGTCATTGCTTCCAGCCATTGTAGTTTATACAAAGTTCACTACACACAACAGATTATTAAAAATCGCTAAAATTGTCGCTGTTGACGAGGTAGTGACTCATCCGTTGGCTCCAAAATGATGGCGTCTAACGTGACAAATTCTGCTGCAGCCCGTATATGGGCGTTACATGTCCTTGTATTCTTTAGTCATTGCTTCCAGCCATTGTAGTTTATACAAAGTTCACTACACACAACAGATTATTAAAATCGCTAAAATTGTCGCTGTTGACGAGGTAGTGACTCATCCGTTGGCTCCAAATGATGGCGTCTAACGTGACAAATTCTGCTGCAGCCCGTATATGGGCGTTACATGTCCTTGTATTCTTTAGTCATTGCTTCCAGCCATTGTAGTTTATACAAAGTTCACTACACACAACAGATTATTAAAATCGCTAAAATTGTCGCTGTTGACGAGGTAGTGACTCATCCGTTGGCTCCAAAATGATGGCGTCTAACGTGACAAATTCTGCTGCAGCCCGTATATGGGCGTTACATGTCCTTGTATTCTTTAGTCATTGCTTCCAGCCATTGTAGTTTATACAAAGTTCACTACACACAACAGATTATTAAAAATCGCTAAAATTGTCGCTGTTGGCGAGGTGGTGACTCATCCGTTGGCTCCAAAATGATGGCGTCTAACGTGACAAATTCTGCTGCAGCCCGTATATGGGCGTTACATGTCCTTGTATTCTTTAGTCATTGCTTCCAGCCATTGCCATTACAGAAAATGTTCTAAAGGGGGATGTTTTGAGAAAACAATACACTTTTAAGTTCTAACCACAATTTCTGTTGACGGACCCATGTTGTTGCTCTTCAGTTGAAGACAGGAAATCCCACAATAGCCGCTGTCACACGCACAAGAGTTTTTGATATCTCTCTTGTGCAGCGTCCAGCAGCTGTAATGGGTTTCAACACTTTGGAAGACCTCTTCGCTTCTAATTTTATCTCCATATTAAATATTCCTGTTGTCCTTCTTACCAAACCAAACTAAAAAACAAAACTTGTTTTTTTCAGTTTTTAGGTTTTCTAAAATTTTCAGAAGCATTTTTAGCAACGTGTTCGAGAAAGTATTTTAAGAAAGCTGGCTCTTTGATATATCTTTTGCTATGCTCTCTGGAACAGCATGCGGCCCGTCTGGGTGCCGATGCCCGTTGCGTTCACTACTGCGCATCGGAAGAAGATCTATATATTTTTTATTTAGTCCTATAAATTCTAGTATTGAATATAAATCAAATATGTCTCTATAGCGCAGCGCGTACAGTTTCCGACTACGAACCGAGTTTTCAGATTTCGAATCTGGGTTAGGGCAACAACCTTTTTATTTTAGTTTCGTTTATATTCTGATAGTAAAGTATTAAATAATTCTGGCGATTCAAAAAAATCAAATATTTAATACTTTACTATCAGAATATAAACGAAAATAAAATAAAACATTTTTTTTCCTGACCCAGATTCGAACTCTGACTCCTCGCTTGATACCCGAAACCTCTACCACAGATTAGGTATCCTATAAGTATACAGATAAAAATCTTGTCCCTAATTCGTGGTACGAAAATTGTTTTATATGACGATGTGCAATCGAGTCAAATTTCCTGTGCGCAAAAATAAACTCCCGTTAAATAACAATAAACAGCGTAATAGAGAGATATCGCTAAACCGAATAGCGTGCATGGACGTTAATAAGGCCGGGTGTTATTTCCTTTACGTGAGGTGGTATTAACTCTCTTCATTTATAGTTATCGGATCGGAAAGAATTCTGATCGCGTCGCGTCAAGGTCGCGTCCGCTATTTAAACTTAACCTAACTTTGAATTTAAAACTTTGAAATTGTTTTGTTTACTAGGTATTTTAAAACTAAAGGGCTAAAGTGCTTATTTTCAGTGCTTTATTGTTCAACGTCTGCCAGTGGGTTCAGGGCAACAAGCAACAAATTCTCTTAGAAGGGCTAAGTCGTCATCTGCTGTAAACCTATAAAGACTCTTTATAGGTTCTTTATTATTGGAAGAGGTGGAATCCATATTTTGGGCCATATTTATTTAATTAAAACTAATCCCAGCTACTTAAATATCAAATTACCCAAAAAAACTAAAGCAATAATTCAAAACAATTCAAACATAACCTAAAATAAAAGATCTCCCGGCCGGCTCCGGTTGTCAAATACCCGCACATGCCCATTTAAGCAATTTTTAAACGTTATCAGAGGTTATTTAGAAAGAGCGCTTGGTGTAATTGATCCGCAAATTACGTCAGGCGGTAACGTTATTAGCGGGCGTTGCGTTAAAAATTGACTCGCGCATATCGTAACCATGATAAGGTACACGTAAATACTGGATGACGCTATTCGGTTTCCCGATATCTCTCTAATAACTGTGCCGGTCAGGCGCTGTGCACAATTTTAGAGGCCATAAGTGGGCGTGCTATGTGCGCAAACTAGTAACCTAACTAGTGCCCGATTCCGAAAATTGGAACCACGAAAAACAATAAAGAAAAAACAAAGATTATAATCTGTGCCTCTACGGGCTGAGCGATGGAGACTCGGTCGGTTTATATTCAATACTAGAATTTAAAGGGCTAATAAAAATATAGGATCTTCTTTCAATGCGCAGTAGGGAAGGTAACGTTTACCGGCAGCCAGACGGGCCGCATGCTGTTCCAGAGAGCATAGTAAACGATATATTAAAGAGCCAGCTTTCTTAAAATACTTGTTTTCCCGATGTTGCTAGCTTTCGTACTATATTTAGAGTACACATGATATCAATAAAATAAAATGAGTCGATATGTAAAAAAAACATTCAAAAATTAACAGTTAAATGTATAGGCACAGATTAGGTATCATATATATATATATATATATATATATATATATATATATATATATATATATATATATATATATATATATATATATATATATATATATATATATATATATATATATATATATATATATATATATATATATATATATATATATATAATAATAATATATATTAAATGTTTGTTTGTGAATTGTGTTTTTATACACTTTTATGCATTTTAT